TCAAGAGGTGGAACGTATCCTCCAACGATGTTTTAAGAGGTGGAGCGTCCCCTCCAAAGATATTGCAAGAGGTGGTTCGTCCCCTCCGAAGATGTTGCAAGAGGTGGTCCGTCCTCTCCAATGATGTTTCAAGAGGTGGAACGTCTCCCCAACGATGTTTTAAGAGGTGGAGCGTCCCCTGGGTGGTTCATCCCCTCCAACGATGTTGCAAGAGGTGGTCCATCCATCCTCTCTAATGATGTTCCAAGAGGTGGAACGTCTCATCCAACGATGTTTTAAGAGGTGGAGCGTCCCTTCCAAAAAATGTTCTAAGAGGTGGCTTGTCCCCTCAATTACAATAAACAGAATAAAAACTTCTCGGGTCGAAGTGATTTTCATTCCTTTTTAAAGAGGGGAGACGAGTATTCACCCAACTTCACCAACCCCAACGGGAGAATCCGATGGCTTAGTCTGGTAGGACTTGGCTCATACCAGTAGTGCACCCTAAGAGGGCACGAGGTCCGACCTCGCGTACCAACCCCGACGGAAGAGCTCGGTGGCTTAGTCCGGCAGGACTAGGCCCAAGCGGCTAACGTACCCTAAGGGGGCACGAGGTCTGACCTCACGTACCAACCCCGATGGAAGAGCCCAGTGTCTTAGTCCAGCAGGACTAGACTCATGCGGCTAACATAAGACATTGTGTTAAAAAAAATACATGTCACTTGTTGCGCCTCGGCACGTGGCCGAGGTACCTCACCTTAGCACCTCGGCACATCGCTGGGACGCGCCTTTACAGCACCTCGGCGGTGCCAGGGCACGACGAGCAGCACCTCGGCGCAATGCCGAAGTGCCTCGTTGTGGCATCTCGGCACACTACCGAGGTGCCCCGTTGTGGCACCTCGGCAGTGTCGTCGTGGCACCTTGACACGTGGCCGTGGTACACCGACCTGACACCTCGGCACACCGCCGAGGTGTATCTCTCCAGTACCTCGGCCAGTGCCGAAGTCCAGCCCCTTGGCACAAGCCGAGGCCCTTGTAACCACGATCAATGAGATGTCGCAGCCATTGTCCTCCGAACAGCCGACAGACAACGAAAAGTGTTGGGAAACAGTAAGTAAGTGACAAAGCGTTGATTGTGCATTCAAAACACCAAGTCAATCAAATGTGCCCACCTCCGGGAGGGGAAGCATGTTTACCGAAGCAAGGTACAAAATGACACACCTCCCGGAGGGGAGACATAAAATATGCCCACCGCCCGGAGGGGAAACATAAAATATGGCCACCTCCCAGAGCGGAGACACAAAATGTGCCCACCTCCGGGGGGGAGAGGCATGTAAAGAAAAGTACAAAGGGGTAGAGCGAAAAACGGAACCCATATGATAAAGGAAGGAGGATGGCAAACAAGCTACAATCAAGCTGCTATGATCATGTCTAATCCTTGAGGATGGGGTCGGCTGTGTGGGGCTCGGACCCATGGAGTGCGACTCGTGTTTACTCCCCTTCATTGACGAATATTCAGCCCAAGATGCCTCGGCCCAAGACGCCTCAGCACAATGCATCTCGGCCTCAGACGTCTCACCTTGGCCTAAGACGTCCTACCTCGGCGCAAGACGTCTCACCTCGGTCTCAGACGTCTCATCTCGGCCTCAGATGTCTGACCACAACTTAAGACGTTTCACCTCGGCCTAAGGCGTCCCACCTCGGCCCATGACGTCTCACCTCGGTCCAAGGAGCCTAGGTCCATAGCGAGCTCGGCCCAGGACGCCTCGGCATAAGGCACCTCGGCTACAAAAGGCTCGGCCATGGTGAGCTCGGCCATATGAGCTTGGCTACGTTGCGCATGGAGGTCGGTTCGAGACATTTACTCTCTTTCGTTGTCGACTTCTCCAACGAAGAGAGTGGGGAACTCATGATGGATATATTACGACTGGAGCAGACCGACCCGCAGAGGTAGAGCAAGACCCGGGGCCCCGACCCGTGGGGCCTCGGCCCATTGGACCTCGGCCGGAGCAAGATGTCGACCCGGGGGTCGGCGGAGCGGGGTGCCGACCTGGGGGAGGTCGGCTATCAACAGGCCGACCTGGAACCAGTCAAGAGGACGCGGTCAACGCGGATCTAACCACCCCCACCTTAGGGGGTGGCGATTAGGGGTGGGGGTTGTATAAAAACCCCTCACCTTGTCTCTTTAGGACATCTAATCATTATCCTACACACTTGGTCTTACCGAATCTCTGTAATAGTCAATTCCTATGGCATTTAATATAATATACGGTCTCACGGCCTTTACGACATCGTTTCGTGTTATCTATTTATTTATTATTCATATTCTTATCCGGATTTAGTGATTCGGGTCCACCCCGGGTAATTAAATCCATCATATATATATATATATATATATATATATATATATATATATATATATATATATATATATATATATATATATATATATATATATAGAGAGAGAGAGAGAGAGAGAGAGAGAATTGCACTCTGATGCGAATGGAGCGCCCAGGTGCGAATATGCGAATGCCTACCAAATAAAATAAAAATAAAAAACGCACAAGATTAGTTCTTACATCATCACCTAAGGATGGTCCTCATTTGAGCCTGCCAAATTATTAAAAAAAAAAAAAAAAACAAACAAACAAAAAAACAAACAAACAAGATTAGTTCTTACGTCATCACCTAAGGATGGTCCTCATTTGATCCTATATATATATATATATATATATATATATATATATATATATATATATATATATATATATATATATATATATATATATATATATATATATATATATATATATATATATATATATAGGGATGCACTCAGGTGCGAATAAGTGCCCAGGAGGGAATATGCGAACGAATCCGCGCGCGACACTTGTCCAGATCTAATAGTTTAAAAAAATGCAGTGGCATTTTCGTAAATAATTGAACATCGAAGTGCAAGTAAAATCACTTACAAGTGCACCTACCTTCACCTATAAGTGCATGTAATTTGCCTTGTTTAACATTCACTTCCTGCAAACATTCATGCACATGGGTGCACCTATTTATAACTACATGTGCAACTATTTATAACTATAGGTGCAACTACTTATAACTATAGGTGCACCTACTTTCACCTATATGTGCATGTAATTTTTCCTTGTTAACATTCATTGATCTGAGTTCAGCGGGTAGTAATACCCCTGAAAACCACCCGCAAACATTCATGCACCTAGGTGCAACTACTTATAACTATATGTGCAACTACTTAGAACTATTGGTGCAACTAATTATAGCTATAGGTGCACTTAGTATTGATGCTCAGTGTAAATTTTTACTTGCACCTATAATACATTTTATATGCACTTGTAATACATTTTACTTGCATTTCGATGTTCAATTATTTACGAAAATGACACCGCGCTTTTTAAAAAAAAAAAATCAGTGTTTCTCATCGATTAGATCTGGACACGTGAACGGACAGAATCCCTTCTTATTTCGCGCATGGGCGAAGCATTCGCGTGTGAGTGCGATTCTATATATATATATATATATATATATATATATATATATATATATATATATATATATATATATATATATATATATATATATATATATATATATAGGATCAGGTGAGGACCTATAGTTAAGTGAGGACCCCGTGGACTTATCTGGTCCTTTCGTTTAAAAGATCTGATGGCTGTGATTCAATTGTTTTTATTCTTTTTTTTCCTTCCGTTTGGACGCGTTTTTAGAACTCCCACACGTTCAGAAGGGCCTTTAGGTAATTTCTCATTTGTAATTAAACTTAGTTTTTTTTTTAAGAAGAAGAAGAATAACATAGTTTCCTAGTCAATTTCATATAAGCCATCTCTGTCTACCCAAAAAAAAAAAACGGGTTCCTCCTTTTCGAAGCTGGTCGTCGTTCTTCTTGGTTGTAGACTCTCGGAGGTGCAGCTCTTTTTGCTCGTCCGCTTCGTCTCTTGATTCTCCATTGCATGGCCGGTGACAGAGAGCAACGAATGACTGCACGCCGTCGGGGGAAATAGGCGGAAACCGCATGTACGCCATTCGTCGGCTGTGCGTGTTCTATCTAGGGTTTTGATTTTTGCGTTTTTGTTGCCGATTTTGTTGCATTCCGTGTTTTAATGGCCGTTTTCATGTGGTAATGTACTCTATGTGTTGTTCAATTTCAGTATTATTATCGCAATCGCATAATGCCTCTCCTGGGTGAATGGACTGTAAGTTCAAGTGTAGAAATGCGAATTTTAACAAAGGTAGGAGAGTGTTCTTGAAGTGTACATTTGTGTTTCTGCTTATGAAATTTACTTTTTTTTTCTTTATTAAAAACTTTTAATGTTTAATTTCGAATAATACGGCTGTGGTTTTGTGAGTTAATATGTGAAGATTGAACAGCTTTTGTGCAACTAACACTTGAGAGGAGATCAGAACTGATCCACTATGTATAAGCTCACCTATCATTTTAAATGGCCATTTATATCTTTCTTGTTTATCATGGAAATTCAAGTAAGAAAATTCAAAATGGCAGTAAATATTCTCCAGTTATTATACATAGCTAGTGGATAACTTTAGTTTTTTATTGAGGCAGCAATTTTAACATTTCATAATTCTGTGGACTTTATAATAATGGGTTTTGATTTTAGACTGGTATGTTCCTAGCTATTTTTTAGATTTTTATAAAAGAATCAGCGTCAGAGGTTCCTCATGTTCAGAACTATCAATTTTCATTTTTCAATGAAATCACAGTCAGAATGAATGATTCAAGGCAGATGTTTGTGTTCCACAATTGAGTATATCATTTCAATTCTTATGAAAATCATTAATTTTATCAAATATATCTTGAAAGTTCAGGATTTTCATTTCACTATATACAGCAAGTCTTCATCAAAGGTTCTTCAAAAATATATCATAGTCAGATCTATAGCACCAACAATCTTTTCAATTCTTTTTATGGGTCTTTGTGTTGGTATGAGTTTGTCCGTGGTGTTTTCCCCTGATTTTGTTGTTGTGCACTTCACTTGTCACTTTTGTTCATTACTAAGTCTGTTGTTGTGCATTCATGTTGATTATGTTTTCCACACGAAGTTTCTCCATTCTGATTTAATTACTTGTTGTGCATTCGATGTGATTTTATGTTTCATCCAGGTCATGTCCCTTGACTGTGTTTCCATCCTTAGTTGAGGTGCAGTTTACTCTCTTCTCTTGTTCTTCATATACGTAGTTGTTGTGCATTATTGTTGTTGATTATGGTTTGCATCTTGGCCAGATGTGTGGTGTTTCATTTGTGTGTTAGTTGTTGTGCGTGCATGTATCTTCTCACATTAGTTACCGTGGGTGTTAGTGTTGGGAAAAATAGCAACGTCAACGCGCGATCTGGAAGCCTTTTAAGAAGCACGGACACTATTGGTGTATGGTTGAAAGGAAATCTGTGCCGTGTTATAATAACACTACCTTAAAAGCGTTATTTACCCGGTAACGGTGCAGTTAGAATCTTGGCACGCTTTCGACAGGCTACACAGACCTACTACGGATAGCTTGCACTAGCAATCACGTAGGCGAACCTCACTATTGCTCAGACGAAGGGAGGGAGAAGGAGAATAGAATAAATGACTCGAATTCATTAAGGAATTTAAAACTCATATAAAGCATTCATAGGGTGCAAATCAATATTGCAGTACTTCAACAACTTCTATATTGCAAGGCTTTGATTGTATTAGCAACATATGAAAGTCAACCTCATTTCAGGTAAAGATCAAGTGGCGCTCTAACTAGCCTGCATGATCAACACCCTACTTCTTAAAACTCCCAGGTCGAGTGGTGAAACCGAAGTTTACTTAAAAACCATCTTCCTAGATAGAGTGTTCAAGAATGATGACTTTTCCATGTTCTCACTAAATTACAATTGAAGCCTATGATATATGCTCTTAATTTTATACAAATAATTTTTGGTAAAAAGTTTGAGCAATGTCTATGCACAAATTATTTCAATCAATGTCATTAGTATTCAAAATACTAAAGAAATAAGTACTGCTAAGTAATCAAAATTTAGACAGCTCAACTAGAATTCGGTACTAAGATAACCATACTTCATGCGAACCCTTAGAACTAGAGCAAATATAGTTACTCAAAATAACTATTTATTTAAAGAGACTCAATACTCATCTTGCGCTGTCAGATTGACTTTTGCTAGTTTTGCCCTTGTGATGGTAGCACTGGTGTGCTCGGTGTCCTTGCTTTCTGCACGCAAAACACCTTCCCTTAAACTTCTTGATTTTTCTACTCCTTTCGTTGTAGACGGTTCTGACACTTTGATTTTCAGTTCCATTGGCACCGTACTTTTCTGACAGTGATTCCCAAATGACTTTTGCCGAATCTTGTTTGACATAGATGTCGAACAAATCGTCATTCATTTGTGACAGCAGGTATCCTCTGGCTGCCGCATTGTCATTTCTAAATTGAATCAGAGTTACACCCGGTTCTTGACCCGGAATGTAATCTATTTCAGGACTGCTTTTTCTCGATTCTTCACCCGGAGTGTAATCAGGTTCATGGTTACATTTTGTAGCACCAAACGGAGAGAACACGGTTGGAGTAGGTTCAGGTGGAACTGAATATAGCACGTAAACCAACTTTAATTGTTCGAAAAGAATAAGCATTCTTTTATCCCACCTACTGTAATTTTTCCCATCAAGCGCGGTGATTTTTGATAGATCCGGTATGACAGAAGGTGTCATAATGCTCAAGGTTGACTGTTGCAGAATAACGCTTTTAACTGTTGGGAAAAATAGCAACGTCAACGCGCGATCTGGAAGCCTTTTAAGAATCACGGACACTATTGGTGTATGGTTGAAAGGAAATCTGTGTCGTGTTATAATAACACTACCTTAAAAGCGTTATTTGCCCGGTAACGGTGCAGTTAGAATCCTGGCACGCTTTCGACAGGCTACACAGACCTACTACGGATAGCTTGCACTAGCAATCACATAGGCGAACCTCACTATTGCTCAGACGAAGGGAGGGAGAAGGAGAATAGAATAAATGACTCGAATTCAAGGTGTGTTTTGAAACGATGTTGGGAGCTGCTATTTATAGTAAGCAGCCCCTCCATCCCTTCCACAAAAGTGGAAGGGACGTGCATTGTCCACAAGAAGAGCGCAAAATGCGCTATACCACCTACAACACTAGCCACACAAAGTTAAGCATATTCTCCAAACTTCATCTTTAATTTTCCAACAATTAGTTCTCATTTGAGGCTGTAAGAAGCGGCCAAGACCAAATATGGCAAAGCTCCCGCAAACAAGGCCAAATACGGCAAAGTTCCCGCAAACTTGGTAAGGTCACAAATATCTTGTAATATTGTTTCCAATTTTAGCACCGTGCTTATGGTGCTTCCTTATTCATTTTTGACATTTCATGATGGGTGTTGTACAATGTGGTGATATTTGTCGTGCGTAGAATGATTTAGCGGTGCAGTATAGTGTATTTTATAGTGCATTCTCAGTTGGCTCTTGTGTTTTACTATCATGTATTCTGGTATGTAAAGTGGGATCATGTGTCTAATTGGTGTATTCTTTGTGGACATTGCAGCAAGCCTTCCTTGCTTCATTTTTTTTTTTTTTTTTTGTAGATGTTAAGCTTCTTGAGAGAGCGGATTGCGTGCGACGCCTTAACCCGAAGCGCATGCAAATGTCTTGGCAGCTTACTGTTAAGAATGACAACTCATTGTGTGGACATAGTGTTATATGAACCATAAAAGAAACTACATTCTTAATATATTAAAAGTACATTATTTGTATACTGAATGTACATTATTATAATGTACATCCATTACACAAATAATGTACTTTCTCTTATTACAAAGTACATTTTTAATATATACTAAAAGTACATTATTTTTTAAATAAATATATATTATTTTATAGTATACAAAATATGGTCCACACAACTTGTGTGGACTATGGTGGCATGTACTACTCGGTTGGAGAACATATAGTATAACATAGAGGCTCTCTCTCGTGGCATGTACTACTCGGTTGGAGGACATACCATTTGGTCAAGGAGATTTGACCGAGTTGTTGTAGTTACCATTCGGTCAAATGGGTTTGCCCGAGTGGCTAAATCCTCAGTTGTGGTTACCATTCGGGTAGCGACCGTTCTGGCCTTCTGCGTATTAATTCAACTAGTACGATGCACGGACTATAACGGAAACAATTATGATATGGTGAATTAAGGGAGAAATTAGAAAAATGAAAAAATCATTACAGAAAGGAATAAAAAAATTATAATTAAATAGTATATTAAAATTTTACAAAATTTGGATCAACATCCTTATATACAATGTTTTTTATGTTAAATTTCTTTAGGTTCCTTCCTTATCGCAAATCAAAATCTTTAAATCATTTGGGTTGACGACTCTTGAAATAACAACATGCAATTGTTCGGGCTGAATACTGGTCTTTTCAAAAAGATGTCCACGTGAGAAAGTGATTATTGACTCTGACTCTTGTTAATTGTCATTGCATAAGAGATGGTTAGATGGAATTATCTTCTTTGAAATTTACAAAGTAGTCTCAAGTATGCTCATGTGGGTAATTGAACCCCTAGACACCGGAAGGAAGTCAGAAATGACTTCAAACTTAAAAACTAAAGAATGAAAGCATTACCAAGGACTTTGTAGTCCAATAATGGTATCAAGTTGCTCCCCTTTGTGGGAGGTGATGGGTTTGAGCTTTGGTGGAGGCATAGCTTGTATATGTGGGTATCCACCTTCCTTTGTAATAATAAAAAGGAAAGAAGGCATTAAACATGGCAAAATATTATGAAAAAATTAAGAATAGATTAACAATAAATAAACCTCCACATTTTCAAGAACAGATTTTAAGTTGACCTCGTACAGTCGAATCAACTGTACCCTTATTGTCTACGCAGTACATATTTTTTGATTATGCCTAAAACAATAAGAGATAATTAAAATGGTGGAGCGACGATGAATATTTCTTGGAATGAATGTTATATATATATATATATATATATATATATATATATATATATATATATATATATATATATATATATATATATATATATATATATATATAATATTATTAATTATTAATTGTAAATAATATTATTGTCCAAATGGTTGACATTACTAAAATATAGAAAGTAAGTAATTAAGGTAATAATAATAATAATATAATAATAATAATATTATTATTATTATTATTATTGTTGTTGTTGTTGTTGTTGTTGTTGTTGTTATTGTTGTTGTTGTTATGCATATACATATTAAATGTTAATTGTAAATAATATTTTTGTCCAATAGTAAAGTAATGGGTTAGATAGAAAGTAAAGTAATTAAGGTAATAACATTATTATTATTATTATTATTATTATTATTATTATTATTATTATTATTATTATTATTATTATTATTATTATTATTATTATTATTATTATTATTATTATTATTATTATTATTATTATTATTATTATTACTACTACTATTATTACTATTATTACTATTATTACTATTATTATTATTATTATTATTATTATTATAAAAAGTATATAAGGTATGACTAAATAGAATAGAGATTTGGCTACAGGCAATATGGGGGCTTTGGTTTCAAGCGCATACATGAGTTTAACATTACCTTGCTTGGTAAACAAGGGTGACGTTTGTTAACTAACCCTACATCTCTTGTGGACATATTGTTGAAGGCTAGGTACTATCCAAAGTATACATTTCTTGAGGCTTTCCTGAGAGTAGTCCAAGTTATGTGTGGAGAAGTATTATGGCTAGCCAGTTATTATTTAAAGGTGACATAAGATGGAGAATTGGGAATGGTTTGGAAACTAGTATTTGGTTACACACGTGGCTACCTGACACTAATGATCATTTTGTGCATACAGTTCCACCGCAGGGGACCCAGGATTCAATGGTTGGAGATCTTATCAACCCCGGAACTGGGACATGGGATTCGGAGCAGGTACTTAATTTGTTTGACTCTAGGGACGCAGGCCTGATTTTGAAGACCCTAGTGAACCACGTGAAAGATGATATTTGGTATTGGCATAGTGATCTACGGGGAGCCTACACTGTTAAGGATGGCTACAGGAGGTTAACTATTATCAATTCCCCACCAAATGGCGTTTGGAGTTATTTATGGAGGCTCCAAATCCCTCCTAAATGGAAATCATTCCTCTGGAGAGCTCTATCATCAGTGCTCCCTACGGCTAATAATGCACTTATGAAGAGGACGTTATGCACTTACTATGTAAATGCCAATACACCCAACGTGTTTGGGCAGTATCTGGTCTTCCAGATCACCTTCAGACGACTCCGATTTCGTGCGGTGGGTGGAGGCTGTTGGAAATACATTCAAAGTGGAAGCTTAATTTTTGGATAATCAACATGGACATATCCATTATTTGCGTAAAGATATGTGGCTGCATGGATTTGCTTTATTTCCACTTCCCTTCTTTTACGTTAGTGTGTGGATGGAATGAGAAACTATTATTTGAAGTCTTCATACCTCTACACTATATAAGGAAACAAGCCATTTTGTCTAAATGCAGCAATAATATTCCTTATCCTACTTCTTCTCTTGTCCGTCTTTAAAGTATGAGCAATAGTGAGGTTCGTCTACGTCTAAGCTAGTGTAGGCTCAACGTAGTTTATTCTATGTTTCATGTCGAAAGCGTACCGGTTTACTTTGACTGCACCATCACAGGGAAAATAACGCTTTTAAGGTAGTGTTTTTATAACACGACACAAACTTCTTTTTAGCCATACACCCGTTGTGTCCGTGTTTCTTAAAAGGTTTCCAGCCCACGCGTTGACGTTGCGAATATTTTCCAACATTTAAAAGCGTTAGTCTAGCAACAGTAAACCTTTAGCGTTATGACACCTTATGTCATACCCGATCTATCCAAAATCACTGCGCTAGATGGAAAAAACTACAAAAGGTGGGCTCAAAGAATGCGTATCCTCTTCGAACAACTAAAGTTGGTTTACGTGCTGTATTCAGTTGAACCTGAACCTACTCCAACAGTTTTCCCTCTTCTTGGTGCTAGAAAAGCTAGCCATGAACCTGATTACACTCCGGGTGAAGAATCGAGAGAAAGCAGCCCAGAAATATATTACATTCCTGGTCAAGAACCGGGTGTAACTCTGATGCAGTTTAGAAATAACAATGCGGCAGCTAGAGGATACCTTCTGTCACAAATAAATGACAAATTGTTTGACGTCTATGTCAAACAAGACTTGGTAAAAGTCATTTGGAAATTACTGTTAGAAAAGTTCGGTGCCAATGATACTGAAAATCAAAGTGTTAGAAATGTCTATAATAAAAGGAGTGGAAAAGTCAAGAAGTTCAAAGGAAGATACTTCGTGTGCGGAAAGCAAAGACACCGAGCACACCAGTGCTACCATCGCAAGGGCAAAACCAGTAAAAGACAATCTGATAGAGCAAGATAGTATTGCATTTCTTAAATAAGTAGTTATTTTGAGTAACTCTAATTTGCTCTAGTTCTAAGGGCTCGCATGAAGTATGATTGACTTAATACTAAATACTAGTTGAGTTGTCTAGTTTTTTATTACTTAGTAGTACTTATCACTTTAGTATGTTGAATACTAATGACATTGATTGAAATGATTTTGGCATAGATGTTGCTCAAATTTTTTACTGAAATTATTTGTATAAAAATAAAGAGCATATATCAAAGGCTTCAATTGCAATTTGATGATAACATGGAAAAGTCATCATTTTTGAATACTCTGTCTAGGAAGATGATTTTTAAGTAAACTTCGGTTTCACCACTCGACCTGGAAGTTCTTAAGAAGTAAAGTGTTGATCATGCAGGCTAGTTAGAGCGCCACTTGATCTTCACCTGAAATGGGGTTGACTTTTATATGTTGTTAAACAATCAAGCCTTGCAATAGAAGTTGTTGAAGTACTGCAATAGTAATATTGATCTGCGTCATATGAATGCTTTATATGGGGTTTTAATTTCCTCAAGTGAAGGAAAAAATTGTGCAAGTGGAATAACTTTAAGTATTAAAGTTATACTTGTTGAGTTCACCATGTTGAAATATATTCCCTAATAAATGTCCGTTTGAACACACTCTTTGCGTATGACATTAACTTCTCATAAAATTATTATTATGTGAAATTTGTGGTTATGTTGTCCAACTTGAAGTAGTATACAGACAACATTATCTATGTGGCTTACAAACAATGAGAATTTATATATATTATTTAACTTCTTGGTTGAGTCATCTTGAAAGACCTATAATTCCTATTTAAAGAGTAACTATGATGTGTCAAAATAACCAAGTTTGTTGAAATATATTCAAGTAAGTATGTACCAGGTAAAGTGCGGTGCTACTATAATGCTTCACAAAAGCAAATTTTCAAAACTCAGTCTACAAAGGAGCTAACGTTGGGCACCAAAATCAATCTGGGTCAGCGATCAAATACTTTTGAGAAAAATATTTGTAAGTGTTGCACTGTAGGGGTAATTAACTCCTGATAGATTTCTTTCTTAAAGGTCTCTTTGTGGTACAAACAATAATGGTAAAAGAGAATATTTCATGTTGAACATGAAAATTTTAAGGAAATTATTTGTGAGTAAATAAAGTACTCGTCGTAAGTTGATCGAGAGGATCAACTTACTTTAATGGAAAGAACTAATTATGAGGTTAGTCGTTGAATTATTGAAATGGCTTAAAGCCCAAGAGGTGATAAATTTGTGGTGGGTCCCACTTCTATGGTCAAATGAAGCCGTGAAAAGAATCACAAAATAGTACACTAATTGGCAATTCCTACAATGTGTGTACTTGTGAGGTTGAGCTACAACTCTTAATGAATTCATAACCCTATGAGAAGGGTGGTTTTGTTGAGACATAATGCTTGAGTACAAACGTGCTCTTGATAATTTATACTCAATTGGGGGGTCTATTTTTTAGGTAGACCTAACGAGATCCCTGACTTGATGAAAAAGGGTTAACCGCCTCTTATGAAAGATAATGGGGGTGTCCCAAGAAACAGAGTGGTTAATAAATATGTTGATAAACGTGCAATTGTAGGGGGGTCCAACACCTTCACTACATATATATTGCGATTCACAAACTGTCGCTTGCATTGCAAAGAACAGTGTCTATGATAGAAAGAGAAGACACATGAGGGTCCGACATGAGTCGGAATGGCAGTTGATGACTAAATATTGATTATAATAGAGTTTGTGAGGTCTGAGAAATCCTCTCACGAAAGGTCTAAACTAAAACCATCCTTGAAATGTCAAGAGAGGTGGGGTTAAGACCAGTGAGGTAAGGAGTTCATGGCGGATACCACTTCTGTGGTCAAACAAAATCATGGGTCTATACTGAGATAGACTCTGATAAGGTAGAAGTCTATATTGAGATAGACATGAATACTAAGGGTATTCATAATAAGTCAAAGAGTTTGACTTTTGTAGAACCTGCATTTTGAGTTGGTGTGCGCATTAGAGTTCAAAAATTTATCTAACCGGTGAGTTCAAGATTCATATCACTCTCGAGAAGAAACTCAGTGTCACTACGTGTCAGTTCAAGTTCTCAAACACTGACATTAAGATCAACTCATTTGTATTGCTCAAACCTTATTTCTTTCTAGCCTTCTACTTTGAATGTGTGGGGGATTGTTAGAAATACATTCAAAGTGGAAGCTTAGTTTTCTGATAGTCAACATGGACATATCCATTATTTGCGTAAAGCTATGTGGATGCATGGATTTGCTTTATTTCCACTTCCCTTCTTTTACGTTAGTGTGTGGATGGAAAGAGAGACTATTATTTGAAGTCTTCATACCTCTATACTATATAAGGAAATAAGCCATTTTGTCTAAATGCAGCAATAATATTCCTTATCTTACTTCTTCTCTTGTCTGTCTTTAAAGTCTAAGCAATAGTGAGGTTCGTCTACGTCTAAGCTGGTGTAGGCTCAACGTAGTTTATTCTTTGTTACCTGTCGAAAGCGTACCGGTTTACTTTGACTGCACCGTCACAGGGAAAATAACGCTTTTAAGGTAGTGTTATTATAACACGACATAGACTTCCTTTCAGCCATACACCTGTTATGCCCGTGTTTCTTAAAAGGTTTCCAGCCCACGGGTTGACATTGCGAATATTTTCCAACAAAGGCTTGATTGGTAAGTGCAGCTGCTAGTTTGCGTGACTCCAAGGGGATAATATGTGGAATATTGTATGAAATTTGGAGGGCAAGGAATCAGACAGTCTGGGAAGGTTCCATGCCAGCGCCAAGATCTTTGTGGCTGAAGTTGCAGACTCAATGGGATGCATGGATCGTTGCCAACCACCCACGTCACACCACTTCCACTGCCCAACCGACAGCACAACTCATACCGCCACCAGGCCGTGTTACTTTTACTGGAAGGATGACCTTTGTTGATGCAAGTGTTCAGGTTCACAATGGCACCACCATGTTTGGTTTCTTGCTCCGGAATTGAGATGGATCCTTCGAAGCTGCGACTAATGGCCCCCTAAGCTGCCCCAATGACCCATTATTGGTTGAGGTCATGGCTGTCCGGGAAGCGTTATCGTAGATTAAGGAGAACGGGTACTCGGATGTTATTTTATACTCAGATTGTCATACTCTCTGCTTAGGTCTCCACCAAGGCATTAACTTTCGTTCGTATGTTGGTCATGTCTTTCTTGCTTGTTTACAGTTAGTTCGTTTTATTCCTCGTTGTTATGTTAGCTTTGGGGATGCCAATCAGGCTGCCCATTGTTTAGCGAAAGATGAGGGTGATATGACTGCTTGCTTTATTTGGAGATTTTCTCCTCCTGCTTGTATCCCACAGCCTCCCTTATAAAGAAGAAACTTGGTGTCATTGGACTACAAGGTCCTTGGCTGATGATTTATTATAAATAGCTTTCTTGGCTTTCAAAAAAAAAAAGATATAGATGATTATGTTTTTCATTTATAAAACAGTTTTTAAAAGTTCATTAGTTTTCTAGAAAATTGAAAAACGTTATTAAACTTGTTTTCTGTTTTCAATTCTACAATCCTCCAATTATTTAGAAAATTTGAGAAATTTTCCAATTAATCAACGGGCAAGCTTCTTTGAATTTTTGAAAAAGCAATACAAAGCCCAGAAGACAAACTATTCTAAAAGCCAACCATGAGATAAACCAATTGTTATGCTATGGACCCGTGTCCAGCATGCATGCTGGACACGGGTAACAGTGCCTACGGCACTGTTATCCTTTTTTTTTTTTTAATATTTCAGACCGCTTCGTTATAGGAGTATATGTTTATAATTTTATTACTATATGTTCATAATGTCAGAGTTCTATGTTCATAATTCCATAACTGTACATTCATACTTCCATAACTGTACATTCATAATTCCATAACTGTACATTCATAATTCAATAACTGTAACTTCATAATTTTCGAAACTCTATGTTCACAATTTTAGAGCTCTATGTTCATAATTTTATCACTATATGTTCATATTGTAAGTTCATAATGTTAGAGCTCTGTGTTCATAACTGTACATTCATAATTGCATAACTGTACATTCATAATTGCATAACTGTACATTCATAATGCAATAACTGTACATTCATAATGCAATAACTGTAAAATCATAATTTTCAAAGCTCGATATTCATAATTTGAGAGCTCTATGTTCATAATTTTATCACTATATGTTCATAATTGTAAGTTCATAATGTCAGAGCTCTGTGTTCATAATTTTATAACTTACATTCATAATTCCATAACTGTACATTCATAACTCCATAACTGTACATTCATAATCCCATAACTGTACATTCATAATGGCACAAACGAATAACGCCGTTAACGGCGAAACAAAATCAATTTTTTTAACTAAAATGACGCGTTTTCCCTTAAAACGACGTCGTTTTGGACTCGTGTCCACAATGCATTGTGGACACGAGTCCACTGCATAATTTGTGGAGATAAACCTTCATAATCAACAATGAATCCCCTACGAAGTTTAGAACAATGTTCACAACTACACAACACAAAATATCTATAGAAAAAACATATAATAAGTCTCAATTAAAGTTATATTCTTGATTTATGTCCCTCTTTTTGTATGCTAATAAAGGTATATATTTTACTTTAAATATTATACACTTCAATGTTATTAGACAAAATTGTCCCTACTACATTCTTGTTAGACAAAACTACTATTATAGTGTTATAACACTATTACTTTTTAATTATATAACATTGATGACTCCATCATTATTACCATACACTCATATCTATCATATCTTCTCCATATTCATTAATTATCATTTTATTAAAATCATTATATAATTAATTTAATGATTGATTATATTTTAATTAAATTTTTATGAATTGTAAATCATATATGTGTGTATAAATACATATATTATTTGTATATATATAATTCGAATTATAATTTTTAATTATTTGTATTTATCAATGTTTTAATATTGAATATGAATT